CGGGCCCAAGTTGGTTAACCACAGTTCAAGTCCTGGACCGAGTGGCTTGTTTTCTCACTTTCCTTCTCTTTTTCTCTGTCTCTCTCTCTCTAGCAAATTTAAAAAGAAAAACACATTAGGAGGGTCCAGCAGGAGACACAGTGGATGGTTAGGGCACTAGATTCCCACATGGCCAACCGCAATTTGAGTCCCAGACCTGGTGGCTTGCTTTTTCACTTTCCCTATCTCTCTGGTGAGTGCATGTGCCCTGTAGCAAATTTAAAAATAATAATGACAAAATTAAATAATTATTTTTGAAAAAATGAATACATGCTGGGCACGTGTGCTTGTGTGTCCAAAATCCTGAGAGGAAAAGGGGTTGCAAAGTGGTCATCTCCCTGGAGGGTGCTTTCTCTCCCAACCCTCCAGTAAGCACACGTACCATATAGCAAATTAAAAAAAGGAAAGAGTTGGGGAAATAAAAATGGTGGGGGCCAACAAAGTAGTGTGGTGGTTAAGGTGCCTGGATCCCACATGGCTGACTACAGTTCAAATCGTGACCTGGTTACTTGAAAAACATACTGGGCACATATACATTTGTGCCCAAAGTCCCAAGAGAAAAATGGAGAAGGGATTGTAGCATGGCCATCCCCTCTAGGAGGTGATTTCTCATTTTCTCTCTCATTTTCTCTCTAGCAAGCTCATATGCCCTATAGCAAAAACAACAGACAAAAAAATTAGATGGCCTATTTTTATCAGTTGTCAAAAATTGAAAAAATAACTTAAGTGCACAGTTAAAGGCCTACTGATAATCCTGGTCAATTTTCAGTTTTCAAGGTAAAACTTACTTAAAAGATTTTTTTATTTTTCCCAGAGGTTTTTGCTATAGGGCATGTGTGCTTGCCAGAAAGACAGAGAAAGACAGAGACAGAAAGCAAGAAATCACCCCCCCAGGGGGGATGGCCATGCTGCAATCCCTTCTCCTCCACTCTCCTCTCGGGATCTTGGGCATACATGCACACACGCCAGGCATGAGTTTAAGCCGCCAGATCCAGGACTTGAACCACAGTCAACTGCATGGAAGTCCAGCGACATAGCCATTATGCCAACTGCTGGTTCCCCCCCCCCTTTTTTTTTAAAGATATTTCAGGGGCCATCAGGTGGCATGGTGGCTAAGGGCCCTGGACTCTCACATGGCCAACTGTGGTTTAAGTCCTGGATTTGGCGGCTTGCTTTCTCTCTTTCTCTTGCTCTGTCCCTCTCTGGTCAAAATTGAAGTAAATAAAAAACTGAAATAGTTAAATGATTAAAAAAAGGATTTTTCTACAGTTGGAGATTACAGGGGGTAAATAGGAAGCAGACGCTATGAGAATCCTCAAAAAGTTCATGGAAAATACCATTTGTGGGGAAAAAAAACCTGCATGAATTTTCAAAAAAAATTTTGTACTAAAATAAACTTGTAAGTTAATTCCATTTGTCTGAATTCTTTGAGCTCTCACACTGATGAATTGCCAGGGTGGTGGATTATTTCATTTAGTACTAGATAGACCTGACACTGCCTCAAATTGGCCACATTCTAGAAAATAATGTGGAATTGGTTACTGAGAGATAGAAAGCGAGAATCACCTCCCAGGTGGGATGGCTGCACCACAGTCTCCTCTCTTCCAGTCTTCTCTTGGGATCTTGGGTGCATGCACACATGTGCCCAGTGTGACTTTTAAGCTTCTGGGTCCAGGACTCGAACCACGATCTACTATGTGGAAGTCCAGTGACATAACCATTACATCACCTGCTGGTCCCATCCCCCCCAGTTCCCTATTTTTAATTCCTTTGTTGAAATTGCTTAGTAAGTGGGATGTAAGTATGTTACTACGTGTAGTCATGACTGAGAATGAAGCTAACAGGAAATCAACCGAAAGATGTCAGGAGACCATCTGCTGGTGATATTGTTGAGTAATGAATCCAGACAGTGCTTCAAGTTTGCACCACTGGATTTGAAAGCCAAGAAGTTCCTGCTTATGAATAGTTTGAGTCAGGATACTCTTACTTGCTACTGAAAGTGTATTAACATCAGTAAATTAAAGTCCCAAGTTGATTGCCCAAGGTACATACCAGCAAATGGTATGCCCAGATTTTAAAATTCAGACCTGTCTGGTACTAAAAGTACATACCTTTATCCACCAGGCCCATCCCAACATTTGTAAGGCCAAGGTAAGAATACAAATAGAGGGACCAGCAGTTATTGGAATGGCTATGTCTCTGGACTCCCATGTGGTCGACTG